AAAATTTTTCAAAATTATACACCTGTCTAAATAATGACGTTTACAAAACCGTAATTATGTTAACATGTTGTAATATTACTACCCTCGGATTTTTTTGTAACTTGTCTTTCAGTATAGGTACATATTTCAAGAGTTTTTTATTGTAACATTACTATTATTAATAAAGTTGATGCAGTAGAAATATTGTAACAAAGATTCTATATCAACTCACCAATAATTAATTTTTATTATTTAAGCAAAAGTTGGTATCGTTTTCACGTTTCACCTTCAGAGTAAAAGCGTTATCTTAAAAAGACAAGATTTAGGTATATATAGGTCAATAGTAGGTCAATAGGTATTAATTGCTCACTTGTTTCTAGGCCTGGAGGATGTGTTGTGTCTAATGGCCCACTGCGAGTGGCGAGACGGGGATCAAGGAGGCGACGCTATGCGCGTCTCCAAGTTTTCCTAAATTTCGCTTTTGTCTCGTCTTATATAGGCATTGGTGCTGGGAGCTTTATAGTCGTGCTTTCGGGGCTTCAGCGAAAGCATCGGCCCGGTGTTGTGTTTAATGTTTCTGGACGAATATTGTCTCCGAGGACTGTGCAATTCGATTTACCACCTCACTATTGCCCGACGTGCGCGTGCAGTATACATTGACACCATAAGTAAAAAAATGCCCGGAGGACGTGTATGTGATGTGTCATATGCATTAATTTAACTAAGCTTCAGAGAAAAACGATCAAATTCATTATAACGTAAATATAATGTCCTAGTAAATCAATTATAAAAAAAATGACTACACCCAATTGTATTTCGAAATGTCCTTCGTAAAAAGGTTAGGCAGGGTAGAAAAAGTGGTCCCGTCGCTATTAAGGCCGAGTTCGAGCAATGGCCCCTCGACCTATTTCCCCCTTCCCCACATATTTCCTCCCTCATTCTATACCTACACTGTATAAAATAACATGATAAGATCTATATGAGATCTTTTTTATAAGACCACTCGCACACAGTATTTAAATCTTGTTAAAATCAGCGCAATATAAAATCTGTTTGTATATTGCTTTAAATGTCCACTAATACTTAAATGCATCACACAAGGAATACCAGGTTACGTCTTATTTTATGATACAGCAGGATAGACAAGCTAGGGGTACATAATTATATATGAAATACCTCACCAATATAATATTCAACTATATGCTCTGTCGATCTATTTTGGTTTTTCATATTAATCTAAAACTTCACGGCCTTTTCATCTGTGGACGGTGGTTCGTGATTGGGCGGAATTTCGATATTCCTACCACTCATTTAATATTTCCACATTTCCAGACGAAATCCCAACATATTTCAGAAAAGTTAACGAAAACGACCCGTTGATCTTTCGTCATACATTGCTATCTATTGATCAAATATCAACGAGTCCGTAAAGAACTCTACACAACAATGTGAATGACAATATTAATTCAGATTACTTATAAGTCGCGTCTCATAGTCCGTTTTCGGCTTAAGGTTTTGGGTCGGGAGAGCGCACTTCGCAGGCGCCGCGGCTGTATGGCGGGCGGCAGGCGGCTGCGTCTACGGGCCCGGTAGCGCCGCGCCGCGTTCAACGACCGCTGTCTCAAGGCCGTTCTTACACGTGCCACTGGGTGCTTCCTACCGCCGCCATAACAAACCACTCCCCGCCCTTCACTCTGAAACTCGACGCGGCATCCCAAATTTTCGAGCTACCCAATTTTCCGATACGCTTCGTAAGGATTCTTTAACATTGCGAATAGAATATCGACGATTTGATACCGAACATTTGGGTATTTCCTTCGTCTGTTAGACAGTGACACTAATGATATATGTATTTTATTGTAATAACTGTTTTTTTGTTAAATTTATTTTCATCTCCTTTTTCTACATACATACACATTTGAAAGTTTTTGTAAGTGAAAGAAAAAAAAAGTGATTTTTGATAACGACTTTTAAATAATTATTTTTCTAATAAAGTTTAAAAGTAAAAATAGCATAGTAACATGTTTATTTGTTCGCCAAAGACAATATTTGTTTTTATTTGTTTTTTTTTTATGTTTAATAATTAAAACACTTGACGGTGGCGGCTGCAGCTTTAAACAGATGTCATTGATTTATCTGCGATTCGATTTCAATTAAAGAAAGCCTATATTATGTTCATTGCTATGTCTTTATCAGTTGCCTTATGTTTAGTATTGAGGATGTTAATCTCATTCAAAGTTATACATTAGCACTCGTAAACTATAGAGTTAAGGCTTTCTTTAAGGAACGCAATTCAGTGGGGTAATGACGTGCTACGACAATTTTCGCTACGAATTTTGTTCTACGAGAAAGTTCATCAAAACGCTAGTCATAATATTTACTAAAAATTGTACAAGCCATATCACGTGGTTGTTGTTTTTTTTAACTACATATATTAGAGGTTCGAGTAAACAAAATAATCTTTTAAATAAAACACTTTAACGGTTTCAAACGCGATATATTAGTTAAACTTATTTGAAAATGATTTTTAACTTCGGCCGGACGTTTCGGATGCTTTGCAGCAGCCGTAAATAAGTTTAACTAATATATCGCGTTTCAAACCGTTGAAGTCTTTTATTTAAATGTGTACTACTCGCGTAAACTATAGACAGTATTTAAAGATAATCTTATAAAGTTATGCGGCCAGATATGCCACTGTTCGAGGAATATGTTATCGGCCGAATGTCTCTTAGCTGGTGATCTATAGCAAATATTATTAATACGTCAATTTACTTAAAAGTAAGCACTATTTGAAAAGTTAGAAAGGAAATGAATACTGCAGACATCAATTAGAATTGTTTTTTAAACCACTAACTTTCAAATAAATAAACTAATAAATGGTAGATTATTATATATATGTATATGCGATATGATTAAAAAAACTACAAGAGGTCTATACAAATCTTCTAGAGATCTTTGTTTATTTAAGATCGCTTTGTTTTTGTAAAATATATTTGTCTTTGATAAGTAAATATGATATTTAAATAAAACACTTTAACGGTTTAAAACGCGATATATTAGTTAAACTTATTTGAAAATGATTTTTAACTTCGGCCCGACGTTTCGGATGCTTTGCAGCAGCCGTGGTCACGGGGAGACACCCGTGACCACGGCTGCTGCAAAGCATTTCAAATAAGTTTAACTAATATATCGCGTTTTAAACCGTTTAAGTGTTTTATTTAAATGTGTACTACTCGCGTAAACTATAGACAGTATTTAAGTAAATATGATAGTTAAAACCGATTTTGTATGTAGATTAAAGTAAAGTACAATGTGAAATTATGACAAAAACTAAGTATGCCATTAAATTTCAGTTCTTTGTCATCATCATTGGTCGCAAAAAAATCGCTATTCGATATTTCTCACTGGGATTCGGGTTTACTATGAAGATATGTAGGCCTTATCTACTACGCGAGCCATATGGGTTTTTGCAGATAACACTTATCATTCAATAATTGATTTCAAGATACTCATTCGGGTTTCCTTGTGACGTTTTTCCTTCACCGGGTGCATGCTTCAGAATGAATACACGTTTTACACACATACATGATTTTTCATCGATTCGATTTCATTTATATTCGAACTCCTGATTCGAACAAGCATAAACCATTAACATTAACACCTCATCAGGATCTGTTGTAGACCTATATTGGCTCGGATATATTCCGAAATCCACAGACTGAAACCGAAACGCGATTAAACTTGACGGCTTTTCCATATGTTGACGGTGGTTCGTGACCCGGATGGAATTTATATATTCCTACCACGTATTTAATATCCATCCAGATTCATCTGGAAATCTGGATATTAACTTAAATTATTATTGGACTTCAGTCCAACATGTTGAAGAAAAATTATAAATTGATTAGAAATGTTGGATCTCGTTGGGATCCAACCCACGACCAGTTGGTTATTAGTCATATATTGCTACCGCTACACCAACGAGCGCGACCAGCCGGGGGCTAATTCCATTAGATTAACATAGCAAAAAAAAAATACACGAGGTATTAAATACTTATAATAGTAAATCACAGATTATATCTTGTTATCTTCATGTTGTTTTAATTAACTCTATGGTTCGCACCTTCACTAGCCTATAAATCAGTCAGCGAGCACAATCCTTTGTCTTTTGAACAACGAAATATAGAACCAAAATATTATCGCATTCGTTATCTGTATTCTTCCCTATCATGGCCGGCTGGTTATCGCTTCGTAATAGTTACTGTGACCTGTGTCTGCGATACTATATTACTTTCTGTTGAGATTTTGTGTTTCTTAAGAGAAATTTTACCTTTATTGTGCGTTTATATGAGAAATGATTATATAACAATAATAATAAGCTTTTCACATAAAATAAAATTGATGAAAGGATTGTCAATATCCTCTCAATCTAATAATTAAAAACCCAGACAATGCTTAAAGATACTTTTTGTTTTTGTTATTTGATGGTACAAATAGGATGGGTAAAACAGAGAGTATCCACGTTTTAAGAAATATTAATTAAAATTATCTCTTCATATATCTTATCATGCATGTTTGTTGTTTGTGTTGTTGTTTCATCTAAATGGTAATAGTAATGTATTTGTACCGATTTATTATATTGCATGTTATTATAATCATTTACAGGGCCTGGTTTAACTATATTTTAAATTGTATGTAATTATTGTTACAAAAAATGACACATGTTCCCCAAAAGCCTTTGACTTTTTTTTTATTACACAGATTTTTGGTGGCAATACGTTTTTATTTGTAAAAATTACTTCTAAAACTTAAAATTCTTCATTTAACAATCTGGTACATTAAATAACAGGTTTTTCTTTGATATAACAATTAGACTTTCAAATTTACAACACTGTAACATTCGGTTTGTATGAAAGCAGTAGCGTGTATAATTATATCACTAGATCGGTTAATTGATAAAGATAGTATGTCACAACCGAAGCACAGGTGAGCGAGAGGTACTGACCTGTGTATGCAGGTGTATGGGCCGTAGGCGGCAACGGTGTAGATTCTGTGGTGTTGTAAGGCGCGCTCGCGCAGGCCGAGCAGGCGGGCCCGGACGCCTCGGGCGCATCTTCTGCGGCGCGGGCGGGAGGGGGAGGCGCGCAGACCGCGACCAGCCGCAGCAGCGCCACACACCACCACCAGAGCACGGCGGCCAGCGCGCGGGCAACGTGCCCTACGCGGCCCGGGGCCCTTTCGCGACCGAAGTACGCACACCGTGGTCGCGCAGCTCACTTCTCCTCGCTATCTCCGACAGTGCATGCAGAGGCGCGGGTGGCAGATGGTACGCGACGCGGGAGCGCGCGCGCGGCCACACGGCGACTGCGGCGCTCTTCCCGATAGCGTACGACCGCACCCGAACACTATTTCGGGAGCGACGCTCCGCACCGCTGCTGCCGCCCGCCCGTCGTGCGCTGCCAATTTTACGCGAAATTGCGGGCGGGCGGTGAGGCGATATGTACCTCGCGCGTTTGCACGATGCTTTCCTCGCGGACCTCGTGACTGCATCGAGCACTCAGCGGGGTCCATCGTCATTCGGGGGAACCTTTGTCCTTTGAGGCCGCTGTTGAAGCATGTATCTCATTGGAAATCGAAATAGTCAAACGCGTCGCTGCCCGTGTCAATAGATACAATGTCACAGCAATTGGCAAGAAAACATAGTCGCGCTATCTCACTGTCTCGCGCGCTGTGTTGTGAATTCTTATGCACGGTTTATATTTAGATGCAAAATTATTTCTGATATAGATAGGTGTTTGACATTACGTTGAACTCTCATACGTCGGGAAGTTCCACCTGTATAAATATTACCCATGTTGCATATTCTTTAATGAAGAATTTTAGTTTGAAATCAAACGGTAAGACTGTCCTTGAGAAATAAATAAATCCTGTCGTATGATTCTATTTCTATTGTTGTTTTCATTTTTATGGATAATATTAGACTATCATCAGGTAACTGTAGAGTCACTGTATTTTCAAGATAATTATTTCATTATTGTTGTATTCAGACGGAATACAACAATTCCTTCTTCTAGTAGTTTAGATAAACAAATTGGAGTTCACATTATAATTTTTATTTTTATAGCGATATATGTAGGTCACGCTCACCATAATGCTTGTGCTAAAGTTTAAAATATTTCTTTAATTTCCATCAATAGAAACTTAATACGTAGTTTTCAATAATAATATATTGATTTATTTTTAGTTAATTTATGGAGTATTCCGTATATTTCTTGTATTCTTAGTAGCTGAGCCTGAAACCCGTGCCTCAACCCATGTTTTAAAGTATTATTTACATTTTATTATTATAAACATATGGAGCATTTGTTGAAATCGGTTTATTCATTTATAGTAAGTCGGCAAAAGAAACACAAAAAATAATATAACATATACCAAGAAGGTATTGTCACTATGTAAAAAATAGTTAAATACTGTCTATAGTTTACGCGAGTAGTACACATTTAAATAAAACACTTTAACGGTTTAAAACGCGATATATTAGTTAAACTTATTTGAAAATGATTTTTAACTTTGGCCCGACCCCCGTGTTTTATTTAAAAAATAGTTGTGTCAAAATTGTAATCGCCCAACACACTGTTCCACTCCGCGTTGGCGGGCTGTAACACCTACCATTACTAAATTTCTGGTGATAACGGGGAACGACGACGGCCGCGGAGTCCAAAGCACGTGGACGATAACCGTACTCCCCAAAATTCTAAATCAAAATTTAAACCTAACCAGGATTCGAACCCACTAGGCCAACGACGCGATTGCTCATCGTAAGTGAAGTGAAATCTTTGTCTTTTTTATAATCTACAACCGACTATTTAAGCACCTTTTTTATATTTAATCTTTCATCGTTCGTCATCAAAATTTCCAATCAGACACCTTAATTAAACATCATCTCGTTTCTAACTAATGTAATATATTACTAAACTAAGCATATTCTTTTAAAAACATACTGACGTATTCTATGACGCTTGTTGCAGTACCTTTATTATAATTTAGTTTTCTTATATTTTACGCATTTAGTGAAACATCTGGCTGCTTAATTACTAATTACTAAAACTTATCTAACCTTAAGGATCTTCACAGGCCTTCACTCAATGCAACAGAAACCTGGGCATAGATCACACAGGGAAGAAGGTTTAGGAATTTATACTCACTATGATCACCGGAACTGACATACATGACCGAGCACTGGGGCGAGGCACCTTCTATTCCGAACTCGGGGCTAGTACAAGAAAAAATAATATTTACCAAGCCTGGATGCGAATCCTGTTCTTCCAACCTGTGTTTCAACAAGAAATCCAATGAGGCAGGATCATACTCGTACGTTAGACTAACAAAAACTACTTATAACTATCCTTATGATAACTTATTAAAAGTAGCGTATAAAAAGAGTAAAGCAGATATATTTAACCACATATTTAATAAATTTCCCCATGCTTGGAACTCGGGACCTCTAGCACTTTTTTATGATAGAGGAGGACAGACAAGCATTATGGCTAATTTATGAAAGGTAAAATACCTCAGTCTTATATCATTTAACTCGATTACAGCCGACGTATTTCTGTTTTGGATTGGAAATCAGCACACTGAAATAGAAACGATTAAACTTCACGGCGTTTTCACCTGTGGACGGTGATACGCAATTTGGCGGAAATTTCAATTATCCCACCACCTTTTTAATATCTACATTTCCAACACGTTTCAGAAGAACTATAAATTGATTAGAAAGATGACCCGTTATTATAGATAGATATACCCGATAGACCCGATGGGGATCTAACCCACGACCAATCAATGAGGTTAGTTATCATTAAATCAACGTTTCGTCAAAAATCTCTCAATGCAAATGCAGTCAAACATTGTGGCATAAATACTGTCTATAGTTTACGCGAGTAGTACACATTTAAATAAAACACTTTAACGGTTTAAAACGCGATATATTCGTTGTCTCCTAGTGACCACGGCTGCTGCAAAGCATCCGAAACGTCGGGGCGAAGTTAAAAATAATTTTCAAATAAGTTTAACTAACCTATCGCGATTTAAACCGTTAAAGTGTTTTATTTAAACATTGTGGCATAGTATACATAACGTATCATACTTTTGATCGGCAGAGCAAAGTAGTATTATGGACTTCTTGTGAGCAAAATCAATGTCTAAAACACAAAATATTTTCTGCCCGTGCATAAGGAACCGGGAAAGATATTATTTATATATGTATATAGTTAAATACTGTGTTTACGTGAAAAGCAGTTAAACTTATTTGAAACGAATATATATCGCGTTTTAAATCGTTTGTTTTATATAAATATGTATATATGTAGTTGTACGTACACGCTTGATGCAGCTCTCAGTTAGCTGAAGATGTCGCAGGGAGGTCAGTGCACCGCTCGGCGATGCACTGTTCCATGTGGCCACTGCCCCCAACCCCCTTTAGCTGCACACTGCAGTTCAAGCTATTATTCCTTGGCCCAATCTAAGAAAAAAGCGCGATTTTTCATTAATTAGCTGTGTTAGCGATTTCGTCCGCGTATAATCGTTATTTCGGACATCAACATTTGTTTTTACAAACCTCTTCTACATCTTATATTATAGCTGTTATCCACGATGTCGTTCGCGTCTCGTCGTTCTTGCAAGTTAATTTTATAAGACATGTAGTGTCGCGGACATTATTTTTAATAATTTAAAAAGGAAACATATTTTTTTGGTATTTTTATGGTTTTATAGATATTTTTTTGGTATCTTGAACCGTTTTCACAGTGTATGCAACGTAAACCTAGAAGGATGAATACTTTTCCTCGTAATTCGCTCCTATTAGTATAAATGCTCTAACTATCAGAATAAAGAATTTAATTCCCACCAATATTTCCTGAGATTAGCGCGTTTAAACAACAAATGAACAAACTTTTCAGCTTTGAATATTTGTATAGATTAATACTTTAAAAATATATACACGATTCTAGTAGACTTAAATCGTTTTAAAGAGTTCTACAACAATTTGTTAAGAGAACGTTTATATGGCTAACAATTGTAACTGTCTATAGAACTCATTCACTATAGGATCAATTTTTTGTAAGTTTTATTATTTTTCTTCACACTTTTTTAACTTAAATTTATTCAATCTTTAATATAAGATGTCCCGTTTCTTATAAGTGTCGCACATAAGACATATTAGTGTGTATGTTCTGATCAATATTATTTACATGCAAGTAGTTGATCAGGTCTTGTGCCATGCGTCTTCAGGGTTCGAAGCTAGGAACATTCGCATAGCGGCTTTCTACGTTGTAATAATCACAGAATTATCAATATTATTTTAATAATATTTGTAAAGCTAAAGAGCTTACAATGATAAACAATTTAGTGTTCGCAAGTATAGAACAGTGAAGCTTAAGGAAGTTTTCACTTATAGAATAAATATTTTAAATCGATTTGATAGTATCTGCTAACGCTTCTCACTTGTACCAAGGGACTACCCGTACAGGTTACTTTAAATTTTCATTAGCTCGCCGCCCGTCGCGACACTCTATTCGTCGACGTTGCTTACAATTGCATTTAGCTAATAGTCGAACCCAATATGTCCACTTCGAATATTTTTGCTTATCTCTCAAAGCATATAGCTAAAAAGACGACATGAACTAAAGTTAATACAAAACAAAAGTTTCACGGGTTCGTTGGTGTAATGGTAACAATAAAAAAAAGGTTTATTATCTCTCTCTTATTACGTTTTGCTAATAATAACCCACGGGTCGTAGATTCCATCCCAACCGAGTTCAACATGTTAGTAAACAGTTTATATTTTTTCTGAAACACGTTGGACTTCGTCTGGAAATCTGGTTTTAAAGTAGGTGGTAGGAATATCGAAATTCCATCCGAGTCACGAACCACCGTCTACAGATGAAAAATCCGTGAAGTTTAATCACGTTTGGGTTTCATTTTGTGAATTTTCGTTTTATTAAAAGCCAAATTTGAAACGCGTCTTGTTGAAATGTTTTAAGGCTAGGCTATTTTAACGTCGTTAAGTGAACTCCATGCTATATTTAAATAAAACACATTAACGGTTTAAAACGCGCTGTATATAACTTATTACAAAATTTTAAAAGTGTATTTAATATATATCGCCTTTAATGTGTATTATAGTCTATTTAAATGTGTACTACTTGGGTAAACTACAGACTATGCTCTATCCTATAAAAAATACAAGTACCTGCAACTAGTCTGTATATGTATATATGTATTAAATATGTTTATATAATATACTACACCATGTATTTAACCACAGGATCACTATACTGTTCAAATCTGATTTTTATTTTTTTTTACTTAAAAAGTATATAGCCTAGGTCGTTTTCCTCATAATTATGGTTTTTTAATTCGGTTTTTGAAATCAATGCAGTATTTTGAGCGATAGAGAACACATTGATGTCTTGCTTTATCATCGCTATAT